TGTGTGTGTGTGTGTTCGGGAGGGGCACTTTATAATCTGTAAGTGTTGATCTTGAGCTGTAAAGTGAAATTAGTTTAGGGTAAGATGTGAGGCTAGGGGAGATGACAGTGTTGTGGGTTTAAAGTTGGTTGGGGTGTCACTGGGTGTCATTAGAGAGATTACAGGGTGTGGGGTGCCCGTGGTGACAGGTTCATTTCTTCAGGTGTGGCACCCAGGCAGGGCAGTGTGGTGTTATTAAATCGACATGCAGCAGAGGTGTGGATGTTATTGTGACTTTTTAGAGGAGGATTACTGTTTTGACAGATTAAGGTGGATCAGATCTGCCAACTGATTTCTTGTCCTTACATTACATAACATCCATTTGTCAAATGCTTTTGAATAAAGCAACTTTGCATTCAACCTCAACAGGAAGTCGAGCTAGATGACATGAAAAACTGGAGGCACATCCTTCTGCTTTGAGCTATCTTGAGCGGTTCTTGGCTGCCTTCCAGTGGTTTTTATAATTTAGAGGAAATATTGGTGGGATTTGGAGCGTCTGCCCACTTACTACTTTTTACGTGTGGTTTATGTTTATCTCTGACTTGGGAAAAACTGGATGGGCTTAAATGCAAAACAGTATATACAGCAGGATTTCTTCAGAGATTTCATGAAAATGGCTTACACGAAGGTGCAGGTTGGCAGGGTGGATAAATGGATATAAATCCATAAAAAGCTAACAAATCCAACACAGAGGAAAACAGGAAGACAGGATGTAAAGCAACACAAGACACAAGAGGAGGAAAAATACAAAATAAAACAGGAAATGAAGTAAAAGACACAGGAGGAGGACAATTACCAAAATAAAACAGGAAATAACTTAAGAAAACTGACGCACAGTGCACGCTGGTGCAATTCAATTAGACTTTTACTCATTTTTTATCTATTTTAATGGAAGAAAATCTCTTTTTTTTAAAATACTGCAATGGATGCAATCGAGCCCTCATATCTCCATCAACACTGACTGGGCAGCCGCCCCGTCAAACAACACTCTTAAAAATAAACACAGACAAATTCTGATATTATGTGTTAATGGCGGGTGTTGATGCTCAGATCCAGCAGAAGCTCAAAGAGTTTAAAAGGTGCAGTGTCTCGTTAAAAGTGTCAAGCCCAATTAGACATTGGCCTCATTTCTTAAATGCTAAGCTGCGATCACGTGTTAGCCTATGTGAGTGTGTCGTGTGCACTGTGTTTACTGTGTTAGTGGTCCAAGCGAGAGAATGCACAGAGAGATTAAAAGGTGTGCAGGCAGGTTAAAGGATAAGATTATAGGCCTGTGGACATTATGGCTAATCTCCCCAGTGGGAGTGTATACATACTCTGAACAAGCACACCTGAGGGTATTTACATGCATGTTTGTGAATGTTTTGAGTCTGTTGAAGCGCAGACTCACGTCTTGGTCTCGTTGGCCTCCTTCTGCATGATGTCCAGGATCATGCGACAGGCGGAGGAGCAGCCCTCTGGAGTTGAGTGGATAGTGATGGGCTTTTCTGCTGCACCTGCATTTTCCTTCCGATGAATGTCCACCCTGAGAGAGGGAATGACAGACAGAGATATGAACACACAACACAGAGACGACAATAGAAAGTAAAATCTATTTGTACTGCGTATTCATTCATAATAATGTTTGAAACTGAAAAGAGAAGAAACTATTTAAGAATTGAATGTTGTTTTTCCCTAAATTAAAATATAAAGCAACAGTAAACATGTCATGAATAATTTGGGCCACTCATGTCCAAAATCTGACAATGTAAAGCTTCTATTGTGTGCTACCTTGCTTCATATCTCAACAATTGGTCTCCAAATGCAAGCCTTGGTACAGTGCCAAAATGCATAATTATTTCAACCTTCAAAACAATTAGAGCTGAGCCATCTGAGGAGTTAATAAAACCATGAACAAAACAAGAATTAATGTGTGAGTCATCATCTTCATCAGATTAACTTACTTGGACTGTGTCTGTTTGGTGACATTCTTGATGGTGAGGCCCTCCTTGCCGATGATGGCTCCCACAAACTGAGTAGGCACGAGCATGCGCAGGGGGAAGTCGTGTTGTCTCGCGCGTGGAGCCCCAAATTCTCCAGAGGGCCCAGGTTGAGAGGCGTCCTGGTCCCTGGACGACCGACCCCCGCGCCGCGTGCGGGGAGCCTGGTCGGGCGGAGCAGCATCCATGTCCACAATATATGACACTTTGAAGGAGTAGTCGTCAAACTGGTGTCCTGTTAACTTCTCAATGGCTCTGTGGGGGGAAAGAGGAGGTATGAGGCATTAATAATAAATATTTGTCAATATAATAAATTGTAATTGTCAGTCAAAGGAAATAATATCTCAGTATGCAGGAAAACGGATGTCTCTGATATACTTGCTTTATACCTTGTGTATCCTGCATTCTCTCTCTGCACTGGTTGTGTATGTTATAAGAAATCAACGATAAGCACGCTGCAAGCTGCATTTAAGCACATGAACATTCATGAGAGCACCTTATTAGTGAGGTAACATCAGCAGCACACTCTGACTGAGCTGGCTAATTTTTTATGTTTAAAAGTGTTTTCAGGTAATTCTTGAAAAGATTTCTATCTACACTGAAATGTCCTAACAACAGGAGAAAACTGAGAGATCATAGAGAATGTTAGAGGAGACACAAAGTTTTGAAAAACCCTGATACTAGCTGGACAGGCTTATGCCATCGTCACTCTGAGGACCTTATTCAAAAATTTGATGGAATCCCTAGTTAATTTGAATTAATTTTATGAAGGTACATTTTCACATTTAGCCACCTTAATGTGGATTTATACTTTAATAGAATGTGTTGCCTCCTTGGGTGTCACCATGTTTATACTGGATATTGCTGTTTTGACAATGACCCTCCTATGACCCCTGGGGATGTACTTTTTAATCCTCCAGTATGTGAACAATGCTGCTGGTGTTGCAGGAGCTTGTCTGTGAATGCACACAGGTAAAAAGCAAGTGTATCACAAGTCTCACTCTTGGCTGCATTATTGGTGCTGCTTACACTTTAGCTTCCTCCTTGGTTGCGTACGTAACATTCACCACTGCTGTTTCTGTATCAGTGTTCACTGTAAGGCAAGAGAGAGAGATAGAGAGAAACAAAACCATGAGATACGGTGAAATAGATAAATAAATAAAAAGGTTCGGGCCACATTCACACATGCAGGTCTTTGTTGATGCCGCAGGTGAGTCAGACACGCGTCCAGGTTCCCGTGGTGACCCAGAGAGCCACTTGTCTGTGTGAATCCATTACAGCCATCAACACACTGGCTTCCCTCCAGACCCCGCTGCTGCCTCCACAGACAGAAGCTGCTAAACACAATAGCCTCTCCGCCACTTGCACAATAACGGATTTAAGTTTGACATGACAGCCTAAAAAGAGCAAGTAATCCTTGATAAAGTGCAACACAGTGCACAACAGAGACACACCTTGGGAAGACTTGTGGTCCTGTACTTATTATGGGTTATGGGTTGGAGTGCTGTGGGCTTTAAAGGACTGAACTGTGGGGTGACTCTGATTCAGCATGTGCAATGGTGAAACAAGCTCACAAATCTATTTATTAATTAGTTCATTGATTATTAATTTGGAACTTTTTTGTAGGAGAAGTAACTTATTGTATTTAGGCATTTTGTGTACTTCTAAAAAATCTGTTATTTTACTTCTACTTAAGTATTTTTTACCACAAGTATTAAGGTTTTAACTCAGATCCTACAGTAAAAACAAAAGTCACATGAAAAATTGTGAAAAGTACAACAATGCAATACAGTGATAAATTATTAAATTTTTGTAGGTATATGTTAAAAAACTAATAGCTCTGTGCTGTATATGTTGACATGTTAATGCATTTCATTTTATACATTTTAACTCACCTACAACTACACCAGTAGCATTACTTGTACTTGAGTGCATTTAAAGTAACTTTTAATACAGTACTCAGTTCCCAGTTTCAGTTTCTCAGTTATGAGAATTTCTGCTTTTTCTTTTCTGCAGTGTAGTAAACAGAATATATTTGTGTGGACAAAACGAGAAATTTAATGACATTTTATAGACCAAATAATCAGTTAATTGAGAATATAATCTCCAGATTAATTGAAAATGAAAGTAATTAGTTGCAGCCCTAAAGTGAAAGACAAATACTAAAAGACAAAAAAGAAACTATATAACCTGCTCATCTTATTTGTTTAAAGTCATTTTGTATGTACATAGTGTTACTGCTGTGGTGTATAAAGTACACATATCCTTAACTTGTTTTATCTCATTCTACTATTTTGCTTCATTTGACAGAATAATCTTTTTCATCTCATGGAGTGTATAACTTTCAGTGCCTGTGGAGAGCGCAACAGTGACAGTAATAGCAAGAGAGAAAGAGACACAGCACGTCTCATTGATGAAACTCCCTCTGGTCCACAAAGGCTTATGTCAAAAGAGACAACGGCATCTCTACTTTGTCAACGGCGGATCTCTGTTTGTGTAACCGCTAAATGTCAAAATGATGAGTCAACAAAGAAGCCATTGCTCTTTGATTGTGAGGACTAATGCCAAAGCCTGCTGAAAAAAACATTCAATGCAAAAAGATCTTTAAAAAATTGCAAATAAACTCCCTTAGATTGTTTGGCAAGTTAACCACATGAACAAATCACCAAAATAATTGAGACAAGGCAAGCAAGGTAATTGCCAATATCTTTTTTTTTCCTGGGAGCTTTTTTTCCCCCAGAAGAATCTGAAAAAGTCTCTGTCAGTGAAAACAAAAACTTTCAAACCTGCAAAGGCGCAGCGGACAGCAGGTTTAGAAGGGTTAAAACCAGTGAGAGCGCCCAGCTGGCTTAGAGAGAGGGTGAGTGGGCAGAGCCTGGCATGGTGCCCGGCCCAAGCGCTCACAGCCAGCTCTGCCCCGCCTCGCCTGTCCTGCCCCGCCACCGGCAGCCTTCACCATGCCACACAAGAACATGGGACTCCTCCAAAACCTCACCCCCGTAACCAGAGCGCATGGACGCAGGCAGCAAAAAAAGTGACAGGAAGTTGGACACGGAAAGCGATTAAGACAGGGGGGGACGGATACACGAGCGGGATGTGCTCTCTGGAAGCTATGATCATACGCTGTGCGGCTCTGATGTGATGATCGGAAAGCCGGACTGAGGGACAAAGAAGAAGAAGAAGATGAAGGAAGAAGAAGGAAGTGCTACTCTGGTCTCTCAGTATGGATGAAGTAGGCTGTTTTATAGCAGCTTCTGGGAAACTCTAAGTGGAGTAATTTCTCTGCTGGGTTCTCTTTTAGCACCTGTCATGACTACAGTGGGTGGTAGTTTGTCTTGGCTGGTTTTGACGCACAGAAAGACACCGTGTGTGCGTGTGTGTGCGTTTGTTTCTTGCTACGTCTACTACTCCTGCATATGTGTGTGTGTGCACAGCGAAAAGTTCCTAGGGATAGCTCTAGTGCTGACTACACACAAACATATAAACACACACACACACACTCCATCAGACAGTGCAAAAGCCTCACCACAGGCGCCTACAGTGTCCTCCCTCATTACCACGGTGCACCTCCCCAAAACAGATGCACACGCAAAAACACAGACAGGCATAAACACACACATGGACACATTACTATTGGACGTCTGCCATGTCTGCTCACTTTAATCCATACACTGAGGCCAAGGGGACCTGTGGCAATGCACAGTGCTTATTATAAAGGGGTTCATGTAATTCAAACACACATGCAGACAGACAAGATGATAAAGGCTGATTTATATGCAGAGATGGGTTATGTTTAGATAATGGGTGTGTGGGATGATGGTAACGAGGAAGTCAAGTCACACAGGGAGACTTGACTCACTGGGAGGTCTCTGTGCATGTGTTGCTAAAGAGACACATGTGCATTGAACAGTTGGAGCCACATGATGATGAGATGTGCAGCAAACGGGGAGAGGAGAAGAGTTCTGTACCTTGTTCCACGTTTTCTACAGTACCATACTGAGCTAGAAGGCCGTCCAAAACCTAAAGGAAAAATGAGAGTGTGAGGTTAGAGACACAAACTAAACGAAACACTGATGCAAACACACACACACACA